GGTGGGGTGGGTGGTGCTGCTGGAATGTTCTCAGAGGCCTCTTGTTCCTTTGAGACCTGGACGCGTGGATCTCGAAAGAGCAGGTGTGGCTCCTCCCAGCTTGGGGTTGGAAGGAAGCCTGCAGGGTACCAGGGTCGCCCAACCGCTCAGGTGCAGCCGCAGCCAAAGGACCCCAGACCCACCGGAGCCTTGGGGGTGGGCGTGGGGAATCTCAGGGGGAGAACCACGAGGAGAGATGGAGGAGGGCTGGGGTCAGGCTCCATTCTCCGTGGGGACTTGAGCCGTGACTTTCAACTAACATTTGGTTGTGGGAAAGACGGATGGGGCCGCTCTCTTCTTGGTCAAACTCAGCACGTGCCCGCATTGCTGGCTTCACCCAGACCCCGTGGCTGCCGGCGGCCAGAGCACACCCCTGTCTGCACAGCCTGAGCAGCACAGTGGAACATAGTTCCGGATCACAACTGGGAGAGGGCAGGATGCTGGGGGAGTGGTGCTCAGAGTCGACCTCATTACTCACCCATTTCACGGTTCCGGGGGCTGTTTGTTGGTAGCAGTGCTCAGGATGCCAGGGAGCACTGCGCCTGTCATTGACAGCAGGGCTCAGGAGGTCCAGAGGCTCACCACGCCTGGTCACCCACGCCTTTACCTGTTAGTGTGTGTTTACAGAAGAAAGAACAGGATGGACCACATTTCCCTAATGACTGATGGTATTTCTACTCAAGTCCTTTGCCCATTTTTAAGTTGGGTTCTTTTTCTTTGTTGTGAGTTGTAAGAGTTCTTTATATATTCTGCATACTAGACCCTTATCAGACAAATGGTTTGCAAACATTTTCTCCCATTCTGTAGGTTCTTTTTTCCCACTTTCTTGATAGTGTTCTTTGATGCATAAATGTTTTTAATTTGGTGAAGTCCAATTTACATATGTTTTCTTTTCTTGCTTGTGCTTTTGTTGTCATATCTAAAAATCCATTGCCAAAGCCAAGATTTGGTCGTGAAGATTTACCCTGATATTTTCTTCTAGGAGTTTTATGTTTTTTGCTATTATAGTTGGGTTATCGATCAATTTTGAGTTAGTTGTTGTCTATGGTGTGAGGTAGGGGTTCAACTGCATTCTTTTGCATGTGGGTATCCAGTTTATCCACTTTTTATCATTTAAGAATTTTTTGGCTTGTTTTATCATTGTTGTTTTCTGGCCAGTTTTCTTTGCCTTTGTGGGTTTACAACTTGAAACAATTATTATTAGTCCATTTTTAGTAGAAACTTGGGAGAGAGCAAAATCAATGCATGTGCTTAATGGGAAATCACAAGGTTTACATTTGAAAAGGTGTCTTCCTACCAGCTTGGTTCTCCTGGTCTCTCACTGATGGGCACTAACCTTCTCATTTTTAATGACCATTGTCAAGGCAAGCATGGAGAAAGCAAGCTCCATGTTTTCTCAAACAAGGAATGACTAAAATTGTTTTGAAAAGTTTAGTGGTTTATTGATAGAAGATGAGAGAATACTTGGGGCGGAGGGTGGAAATTGCCAGGGTTTACGAAGTTCTGTAGACAACAGAAATCCCTCGTGGGGTTTGAGAGGCCTCAGGGGTCAAGCCCCCATCTCGTTAATCTCCCTGTGTGCAAATCTAATTCTAGAAGTTAATCCTACAGACATAACCAGCCAACAAAAATGCCTGTGACAACATCCATGACGATTACTTCTAAGAGGAGGCAGGCCTGCAGTGTGCCTTTTGTGGGGCCCTCAGTACTTTTGCCTTGGAGGGTGGATGTCTTCTTCCATAAATTTAAAAAATATATATATATTTCATGACTGCATTGTTGAATTCAGGCTGGATCCATTATTATACATATTCTTTATCATCATATTACATTTTTTTATTTAAAGAGACACTAAAATGAAAACCTTTTTGAGTGCCTCACCGGCCCTCAGCTCTGGGCCTCCTGCACCTGGCGCAGAAGCCATCGGCCTTTAATGGAAGTAACTGGAGACAATTTAGTGCAGGGTCACAGAAACCGTGAGCCCTCTTCATAATGTCACTGCCAAAAATGATGCAGGAAAACATTGCTCATCTGGACCGGGGTGGGGCGTGCAGGGGATCACCTACTGCTCTGCACCCCACCCTCGCAGTGAGGCTGCCCATGCACTCTGGCATTGCCTGAGCCCATGTAGCCTGGTGTGCGGTGGGCAGGCATGGGGCCCAGCTCCGCGCCCGGCTCTGCCCCTGACGCTCGCTCCAGGTTCCAGGGTGTTGATCAAGTCCAACCCATGCTCCCTGCTTCACTGTCAGTGTGGGGTGCACAGGGGCAGGTGATCCCCAGACCCCTGCCAACACCCCAAGCCCGGTCCGGATGAGGAACATCTTCTTGTGTCGTTTTTGACCGTGGCATCCTGAAGAGGGCCACACAGAGGGGAGGCTAACCGAAGAGGGGAGGGTCCTGTTCTTTGTGCGGGGAGAGCTGAGAATGGTCGCCTGGTCATGTTTGCTTTGCTGGCCTGTCTGCCCCCCAGTCGGCCTCTGCACCGAGGCAGCTACCCTGTTTCGACAAGGGGGCTGAGCCCAGCCCCAGCTGACTGGAGAGAATCTCACCAACCCAGGCGGGGACCCCCGCGAGCCGGGGCCCCACCCAGGATTCTGCACTGGAGCCCCCGAGGTGCTGGCCTTGACCCGAGCGATCAGCGTGCATAGACCTTGGGACCTGAGCTGGGGACGCCTTCGCCGTGCACACAGAAAACTGACAGCCTGGAAAGACCAGAGTGAAGCCAGAGGAGGGGGAGGCAGGCAATCTGCAGGTTCCTGGCAGCCCCGGCTTCCTGGCCGTGTCCCCTTCCTGCACTTCTTCACCTTTAAAGTACCCACCCCCTCCTGCGTGCCCCCTTCTGGCCCGTGGTGGTCGGAGTAGACCTGTTCCTGGCTTCCCATGAGCCTGCCTGGTTGTTCCTAGAACCAGCTCTCCTGGCCCTGTCGAACCTTTTTCTTCTCTCTTCTGGGCTTCGGCACCTTCCCAAGCCTGAGGAAGCCAGGAAGACCCTCCGATGTGGGTCTGGGTCTGTGTTCCGTCCTGCCCCTATCCTCCAGGCCTGCCCCTGGGCCTCAGGCGATGGGGGTGCAGCAGGTCTGGGCACCCACTTTTGTAGAAGATCACAGAGGAAAAAGCTTTTTTTTGTTTTTGTTTTTGTTTTCCTGCATATCCAACCTGGATAAGGACCCAGCTCACAGCTGAGCTCCTCTCTGCTCCTGTGTCTCCCAGAGCCATCTTCTTCTCCTGCTCAGAGACCACCCTGGGGCAGCCCAGCCTCTCCCCACCCACGCCTTGCCCTGCTCCCGGAGGGCCAACTCTGCTCTTTCAAGAACCTAAATGTAAGTCAGAGCACATCACCCCTTCCTCAAAACTTTGCTCTGGCCTTAAAATAAGAAACCGCCTCCTAATTTTGGGCTCCCAGGCCTGATGGGATGGGGCCTTTCCTCCTCACCTCCCCACCCCCCGGCCCCTCCTTCCTTCTGACCTGAGGCCTGTGAATTCAGTGAGGACTGGGACTCTGCTGTGTCCCATGGCCTAGGATGATGTGTGGCTGCACAGTGTGGGCCCCTTGGCCTGCAGGGGTGATGTCAGGATGGAATCAATAGCATCAAGGGACACTCCAGTGTGCCCTTGACCTGATGCCCCCGAGAGAAGGTGTATGGGGCTGGGGCTGGGGCAGAGGGGGAGGTGGGCCGAGGGACCCCTTGCTGGCTGAGTTCCCATTCATACCTGGAGACCTTGGTGCTCTGGGGAGTGACACAGGGCTGGGACCTTGGGACAGTGAGTGCGGCCCTGGGCGTCCAGCCCAGGTAGAACCAGAAGAACCCAGAAGTGTGAGCACAGCCCTGCCCGGAACCGCGTGTGGCTGTGCTTTGGGCCGGGCAACCGGGCAGGCAGCCTGATGGCTGACACCTGGGTTGGGGTATCTATCCAGGGAAGTGGCTACATCCAACCGATGAAATTGTAGAGTTAAAATGTCCAAACCTAAAGGGGGTGTGTGTCTTTTCTGTATTCACATTTAGATTTATTATAGAAGTAAAAACAACAAGCCCATCATTGCCAGCTGCCTTTGTGGGGAGGGGCTCTTCCCACTGGTGTCGAAAATGAGGCCAGGACAGTGGGCATCACAGCCCGAGGAGGGGTGCAGGCACCCAGAAGTCTCCCCAGCCTGGGAGAGGCCTGGATACAGGATGGCCTCTGGCTCCTGACCTTTGCTGGGCTCCATCCTATCTGCTCCCCTGGGTGAGGTGTTCCCTGGGCCCAGCCCAAAGCCAGGTCTCTACCCCGCCCCGCGAACCCCTGAGGCTGCTGCTGGGCCACATCCCTATGGCCAGTGTCACGCCCCAATCTGCAGCCCCCCCTATGCCGTCCACTCACGTGTGAAGGGAAATCACACAAACGTGGCAGGGCAGGGCTCGTGGAGGGCCCTGCCACGCCCGCCTGGCTGGAGCCTATCTCCCCGGGGGTGATGAAGCTGGAGTCCCAGCTCAGACCTCCCTGATCTCGGAGTCCAGACACACACTTAACCAGCGAGGTGACCTGGGTGCTCACTGCACCCCCTGGGCCTGTCCCCCTGGGTGTGGATGGGGGTGTTCGAAGGCACCTGCTGGGCCCGGGGAGACAGGCCCCTGCGTCACTGATACTCAGGGCCGGAGGCAGCATTTGGCTCTAGGAGGCAGGGACAGAGAGCCTTGTCACTTTACCATAAAGCAGACATCAGGACAGGTTTGCGGCTCCCAGGCTGGGCGCTTCCTGGCATGGGGTGAGGAGCCAGGCCGCCTGGTGCTTCCCGAGCGCCCTCTGCTGGTGGCCTTGGGGGACTGCACAACTGGCTGGGGGGGCGGGGAGGACTCAGAGCTCAGGCCTCTGCTGTCTGGTCCTTGGCGCGGCCTGCCCAGTGGCCTGGTGGGGCTGACGATCCCGTGGGAGGACGCCGGAATCCAATATTCACAGAGAGCCGGGACGTAGCTGAGAACCCATTCATTGTAACTCAAAGACTGGCATCAAATTTATTATTATCGTTTGTTAAATATTTTAGATCTTTTCAGAACACATGGTCTACAAGGCTGTGGTGGGTTTTCTTCCCAGTACATTTTAGCGGGTGCAGTCATGTGACGGGGGGGAGGGGACGTAAACAGGTGGTATGCATGTAGGGAGGGCCCTGGGGGGGGGCGCCCCTGCACCTGCATCATGGGTCTTGGTCCTCTGGGTGAGAACAGCCTCTGGACTTGCACCAGCTAAACCTGAGAACTATGTCTCCCGGTCAGGTGACATCAGAGGAGGAGGGCCACTGGGGACAGCGAGGAGTGCAGAGACACGTGTGTTCGACGTATCTTAAAGGCACACTACACAGGGGCGGTGGGGGGAGGGGCTGTTCTGCCGGGCAAGCCCCTGCTCGCTGAACAACCGCCTGTCCTGCAAGCGTCTTGTGGGGTGGGGGTGGGATGTCCATCTCCACGGTGCTAACTGGAGAAGGGTCCCTCTCCGGCTGGGGGTAGGGGTGGCTGGGCAGTGGGTGCTGGAATGGGGGGCCCTGGGCAGAACAGCTCCAGCCTGCAGGGGGCTCTTGCCCACTGTCCTGGGAGGCCAGAGGCTTGATCTGCCGGGGCGCCGACATCAGGCACAGACCGGGGGGAATGAACACAGGGGCCCCCTGGGGCCACCAGAACATCTGCTGACAGCCTCCTGGCACACGTGGTGGCTCCTCTGGGCCAGCACCAAAGACCTTCCTCAGTGGGTCCCGTGGTGTTTGCTTCTCAAAAGGCCATTCACAGCTTGGAAGCTGGCCTTGGGTGGCAGATCCCAGCCTCTGAGGGAAGAACCGGCCATTTCTCAAACTGGGCTGTTCTGGACCATTAGCTGCTTCTTCCAGTTTTGGGCCAGGCAGGTGGGGCCACAGTGGCCTGTCCTATGTCGGCACCTGCCTGGGGGTCAGAGGCGAGAATCATCTAGATTCAGAAAGACCTTCCCTGGGCTCCCCTCAGATTAACGTCTTGAAAAGTGAATTCTTCACAGCAGCTCCAAGAGTCTCTGAAGTTCTAATGAAAATGCATCTGTTGAATAGTTGTCAACACCCAGGGGTAGGTACACCGTGACGCCTGGCCCAGCAGAGACCACGGCCCCTGGGAGGGTGAGCTGTTTGGCCGGGCTCTGGAGAGGACACCCCATCCCCCCCAACTCCTTATCTTTCGTTTGAGATGGAAATATGGTGCCCTCTCTCTGCCTTGGAGAGCCAAGAAAGCCATTCCCACGGGAATGAGTGGGGATAGTGGGGTGGGATCTGGGGACCAAAGCTCAAGTCTGGCTTCACGTCCAACACTGTGACTCTCAGACCCTCAGAGTCCTCCTCAGAAAATGGGGATCATGCCCCCACCCACCATGGTGGGAGGAGGCAATCCAGACCAGCCCCATGGGTATGGGGCTGCATGGAATCTGAATCTCGAGGAAAGAAGGCCCTGGGGGATCCGCAGGGTGGCCTGGGGGGGCAGGTGTGGTGATGGAGTCTGGGGAGCCCTGGAGCCTGGGTCTTGCTCTTCCTAACTAGGGAGGAGGAAACATGTGCTGACCAAGCTGAGGGAGAGGAGTACCCAGCCCTCTGCTCGCCTCCAGGCACGGCCCCCACCAGCTGTCAGACCCGGGGGCTCGGGGGCCTTGCCCGGGGCTGCTTCAGTAACTGTCATCTGTGAAGAAGGGTGCTCGGGCGGGCGGGGGGCAGTTGCCCTCATCCTGCGGCCCCACCAGCTCCCCGTACTCGCTGTTGTAGAACACCTGCCCTCCCCGTGCCCCCCGGTCTGGCCGCCGCCGCCGCCCTTGAGTGTCAGGGTGCTCCCTGGTCACGTCCACGTTCTGGCCCGGTCCTTTACAGCTGCCGAGACAGGGAAGGTGATGGTCAGTAAGACAAGAAGAGAAGAGGCACAGGACCCCAGTCGGGGTCTGGTTGAAGTCACCAAAGACACGACCGGAGCTCCAAGCGAGCTCAGAGCCCTCGGAGACACAGACCTGACTTGCACAGTGAACCGGACTGATGTGAGGGTTGGCAAACCCTGGAGCTTTCTCTGTCCCCAGCCTGGGCACGTGGGACGATGGAGAATGCCCACCTCATGCCCCCAGACCTGTTTCTCTCCCAGACTCGCCCATCTCTGTAAACGCACCACTCCGTGGCTCAGGGCCCTGGGCGTCATCCTTGCTCTTCCCTTTCCCCAAACCCCTCACATCCAGTCCATCCAGAAGTCTTGTCTGTGCTGACTCCAGAATGGGCCCGAGCCCCTCTCTGCATGCCCTGCCCCGGTCCAGAGTGAGCGCCCAACTCTGACGCTCTGCACTCTCCTGGCCCGTCCCTCTTCTCCCAACGCTGCTTCAGAGATCCTTTCTGCCAGAGAACGTCCTTCTCCCGACAGATCCCCCAGTGGCTCTTCATCATTCCCAGAATGAGCACCGAGCTTCTCACCCTGAGAGAGGTGCCAGCCCCCACCCCTGCCTCCTCCCCGACGGCCGTAGGATGCTCCCTACTTAGCTCTCACTTTCTTTGAGATTTAAAAAATATATTTATTTATTTATTTATTTATTTATTTGAGAGAGAGAGCACCAGCGGGGAGAGAGGCAGAGGGAGGGAGAGGGAGAGAGAGAATCCTCAAGCAGACTCCCCACTGAGCGCGGAGCTGGGGCTCATGACCCTGAGATCACAACCTGAGCCGAAACCAAGAGTCGGACGCTTACCCAACTGCGCCCCCCAGATGCCCCCTTCTTTGAGATTTTTGAAGACCTTGCTTCATTTCTTCTGATTTTGTTTTTGCTGTGCATGGTGCTCAGCCTGGTGCCAACCTTTTTTTTTTTTTTCTTTCCTTCATAAATGACTCAGCCTTTTTGCCTGAATTCCAGAATGTTTACCTTGAAAATCTAACAGTTCAACTCAGATATGCAGCCAAGTCTACCGCTCTGGGGTAGTTTTCCCAGGCCCTCTTCTGCGATGTAGATTCAGTTCTTCTTTTATTTGAGAGAGTCCCTTGACTTACAATTTTAAAATATTAGTTTTGTTCCATGGCCAGCATTGTCTCCCTCGGAGACTCCAATTTTATATATACTGGATCTTTTCTACTCAAATATTGCACTAGTGTACTTGCCAACTTCGTTTCTGGTCTTCTTTACCTTTTTATTTATTTTGGTTTTCTTTTCTTTTGTCTCTTCATGTCCACCTTCTGTGTCTTTCCCCGTAAGGGAGCATTGATTGTATCTATTGATCCTTGGGCCTCCCCCCACCCTGGTCTTGATTTTTGAGGGGATTTGTCTTTTATTTCAATTTCTTTCCTGAACGTAGTCAGCCACCATTTGATACCTTCGCACTGTTCATTTCCATTCTGAATGTTTGAATTTCCGACTCCTGGTGCAGCTCCTTGTTTAATTATGTATTTAATTCACGTCAGAGTAGTGTATCAGCTTTTCTCTGCTTCATTTTTTTTTTTTGAGTGTTGACAGCTACTGAAAAGTTTTCATTCTATTTTTTTTATTCTTACAATAACTGTATGAATAGTGTATGGATATTTTTAAAATTTTTTAAAAGATTTTATTTGTCAGAGAGAGCATGAGCAGGGCGGGAGGGGCAGAGGGAGAAGCAGGCTTCCCATGGAGCAGGGAGCCCGATGCTGGGGCTCGATCCCAGGACCCTGGGATCATGACCTGAGCCGAAGGCAGACGCTTAATGACTGAGCCACCCAGGCGCCCCATGCTTATTTTTTCTGTTCATGATGATTCGTGCTGGGATTTCCAGGACTAGAAATATCTGGTTCTCCTATGGAAGGGGCTTGGGACGTGGGTGGCTTTGGAGGCTTCCTCATTTAGCCGTGCTGCATTAGACCCACATCTTTGGCATCACCCTGAATTCCTTCAACTGCCTCCTTCTTTGCAAAGGCTCCATTCGTGTTATGGTGTTGTACTGCCACCAGGAACCAACCAGTCACTTGCTGGGAGTGCTGGGCCCCCCTCAGCTGCTGCCACGCAGGCACGCTGACCCACCACAAGCAGAGGGCTTCCAGATCTTCCTCTTGCCTACACACTTGGAGGAGACGCCACCCTGCAGGGTGTGGATGTGGCATGCTGGGCAGCCGCTGAAAGGGCCGGATGAATGGCCTGAAAGTGAGGACACTGTGGGGTGGTTCAAAGGAGACGGGAAAGGACTGGGCAGAGAGACCCCCTCCTACTTCTCCCCCACAGAGCCATCCAAGGCACATTCTCTCCTTGCACCTGTTTGGAGACTGTTCCACACGCCAAGCGAATGCAGGTGCACCTCTCAGTGGCTGGTCATGATGTGTTTCCAAGGGAACCTGTGTGGACAAGAGTACTTTCTATTGCTGCTATTGTGAGGTGCAGTTTCTGTAATAAACGGTTCCCTTGGGTGTGGATCTGTCTTCTGGATTCTTGCTTCTGGAGGACTCTTATCTTCTGCAACTTTCTTCTTCTTTCAGCACTAAGCGCTCGCATCCTGCTCACTGGCCATTCAGAAGCACTGCCTTCCCCAGACGGCTGCCCCTGGTACCTCAGACTTGCCCTGGAGCCTCCTCCACCAGACCTCTGCCTCCTTCCTCATCTCCCTGGTTTGTCCCAAGGACCTCGAGATACTCCTCTCTCCTGGGCGGGCCGCATCTTCCTTTCCTTCCGCGTGACTCAGGCACGGCTCTGCTGGTCCCAGCGCTGGGTTTCCTACTCACGCATAAACTTGAGTCTCTCTCTCCTGCTTACGGCACAGGTGTGGGCTCTGAGGGGCCTGCCTCCATGGGCTGTCTTTATGAAGACGTGTGGAGATTAGAACTTAAGTAGCAACCATCCCCCGGCTCACCCTCTTATTGAATTACCTTTTTTTTTTTTCTTGAGATATAAAATACTGTTGGGTAAAGAAACATTAGCCAGACACTATTTCCAATAATGCAATTAGCATTCATTTTCCAAAACTAGGTTACTAACAGAGATCACCCGATGGGTGATCAAGGAGGCCAAGATGCACGGTAGAGCTGGGTATGTGCCCCACAAACCACCAGCACCCACAGCAAACACGCTTTTTGTAGGCTGCTGGAAAAATAACCGCTAGTTGGTTCAGCTGCAGAGATCATAAACACACCTACCAGAAAGGTGAAGAATCACATCAACTATCCTAACGTGATACAAATAAATACTTATGGTCTCGGGTAAAAAAAACTCAGTGACAACATCACACATTGATTAAAAAACAGCACAGGCAGAGGCCAGGATTCGTTCCAGAAAACTGTGTCGGACGACCCCAAAAAGGGGCTCCCGACAAAGACACAGATCAAGAGTCCCATGCTTTACCGACTGAGCCAGCCATGCGCCCCATAGGTTCTGTCATTTAAACAGCTATGTGCAAGTTGACTACTAGAGTAACTAGGTAGACGTTTAACTATTTCATCTATACCCTTAAAAGATTAAACATTCAGGGCTTTTTTTTTGGGGGGGGTGGCTATCTTCTTGGACAAAGGGAGGTCACCCTCTGTACAGGTATGTGAGGATTTCTCTGTGACTGCATTCGTATCAAAAAAGGACACCAGCCAGCTCCAGGTCACATGATCTGTCTGGCTCCTGAGGCCTCAGAGCTCAAAGGGGAGCTTAAATGGGAGGTTGGGGGAGGGTGGGTCGGCTGGGGATGGTGGTGGCACCCCCTGGCTGTGGGAGGGGTGCGTAGGCACAGTGGGCATGCGAGATCATACTCGGTTCACAGAGAGGTGGCCTCTGAGCACCTGTAACATGGAAGGGAAGGGGGGGACCAGCACCAGGTGTGCTGGGCCAGGATGCTGGTGGGGGAGGGGGCTTCCCAGGTGGCCAAAGGTCTTGAGTCCCAGAGCAGCTTGCTTTAAACACCCAAAAAGGTAATAAGAAGCCACAAGAGGTTTCAGGTGAGTCAGTGATGGGCACACACAGGCCCAGCTTCCCCGCCCCGGCCCCTCGCAGGGAAAGAGGCTCTGGAAGCCTTACCTGAGCCCGCTTTCTTGTCTGTACCTGCCCTCCAGCTGCTCAAACTCCTCGGAGGCCAGCACCATCCCACTGTCCGTCTGGTTATCCTGTGCGGAGAGAACAGGCCCGTCTGCAGGCAGCACCCCCTGCACCCCCCAGCCAGGACGGCGTGGCATGGACCTTCTCTGCAGGCCTGAGACCCGCCCTGTGGAAACTGAGCAGAAAGCACGTGTCCGTTCCTCGCTGAAGCATGCAGGTGAGGGTCACACACCCCTGCCAGGGAGGGAGAAACTGAGGCTCAGGGTGCAGAAACTGAGAGCCTCTTGAAAGAATCTGGCAGCTCATGGGGTAACAAAATGGTCTCACGCAGACACATCCCACATTTAGCAGGGCTCTGTCGCCCTTTGATGGTGCATGACTTGGCATGGTTTTCGTTTTGCATGACATGGAGGGGAACAGCACTCTTGTCACAGCTGGGGTCCCCCCAACATCTCCATCTGCCCTGGGGGACAGGAGCCGGGGCCAGCAATCACTGAGCAGGCCTGTCTGCAGGGAGGCCGGGGCGGGAAGGTTCCAGGCTGAGGATGAGTCTGTGCTTTTGCAAAATGGACCCACGGGCTCCAGCCTCCCAGTGCCCTGAGAGGTCCACTCTGCTTGAGTAGATCTGAGAACACCGCTGTGTCGTGTACCCCGTACCCCGGGCTCCTCCTCAAGGGACACCGTCCCCTTCTCTTTGGCCACATGGCTTGGTGGCCACCAAAGGGAAGCCCTGACTCAGGCTAATCCAAAGATAATCACCTGGAAGGAGAAGCTGTCTTTCCATTGGGTTTCTCTGCTGTGTGGAGGGGAGACCGGTGTGTGTGAGGAGGGCACGGGGGAAAGCAGCTGAGAGATGGTGGCATCACAGGGCCACACAGACCCCCACATGCCCGACATGCAATCTGGACTTGACATTTCAATGTGGTGCCCCTTCCTGAGCTGGTTTCCCCTGCTGGCCTCGGGAGGTCCTGATACCTCCTCCCAGCGGAGAAAGCCTGACCTGGGGTGCACAGGCCCAGCTCCCCACTTACCACGGAGGCCTTATAGGTCGTCGGGGTCATGGGAAATTCTTCGAACGTCTTCATCCTGGAAGAGCTCTGGGTCTGAGTCCCTCTGGCCAGGCACCCCGGAAAAGACACACAGTTGTAGTATCTGTGGGGAGAAAACAGAGTGCTGAAGAAAGCTCTCTCCACCTCTCTTTCTGCCCCCTCTCCTCCCAGAAGGACCCCAGGCCTGGGCTGTGAGTATGGGACGTGGGTCTGAGTGCTGGTCTGAGTTCCTCCCCGGGGGAGGGGGCGCTGTCGCTATCCACTGCTTGGCCCCCCTGTGCCGGGATGTCTCCTCGCCTGTGCAAGAGGAGAGCGCCTCCAGGGAAGGGTGTGGGAGGTGAGTGGAGCACACCCAGCCTGGGTGTGGCATGGGGCTGGTGAGATGGGGGGGCCTTCACCCCAGAAGGGGTCCCTCTGTGCAAGCCGCCACCTGGCCTGTGTGCGCGGGGCCGTGTGTGTGCATGTTTGCGTGTGCGCTGGGGTGGCTGGTGGAAGGAGCCTAGTGGGCACCCTGTCCCCCAGCCCGGCCCTCCCCTCCGCTGGGGCACATGGGGTGGCAGGTCTTGGAGTCCTTCTCTCGGCAACCCCATTGGGAATGTGAACGGTCTTCCCGGAGTGTAAATAGCTGTTGGCAAGAGACCTCGGGTCTAGAACTCTGGGAACTTAAGCTACGTTCTAAATCCTGAATACGGGTGAGTGGCTGGCCCGCCCTGCTCCCGGGACCCCAAATTTCAAATTTGGGGAAGGGGCTTTCGGGGGCCGTGAGTGCCCGAAGCAGAGGAGGCTGCAGGGCAGAGGGAAGGTCTGAGGGGGCACGGAGGAAAGCGAAGTCACAGGCTACATGGTCTTGGAGGGGCCCCAAGGCTCGCCAGGCCCTCCAGGGAGCCCCAGACCGAGTACTGTCATTTAAAAAACCACTGTGCTCTTTCAGTTGGTGTACAAAGGTCTCTCAAGTCCTTGTAGTTTGCTGGTCCTTGATGACTGGCGGGAATAAAATAGAGCGCGTCCAAGCTGCTCTCTCCCTGCCCGGGGGATCCCGGCCCCCGGGCAAGGGCGGCTGACCTGGCCGCCAGGCTGTGCCGGTGAAGGCTCGGCGGGCTGTCCTCGGTGTCGGCCTCGGCCACGTGCAGGGCCGTGGTGGATGCTTGCAAGAAGCTGCCCTCCTCCAAGCTCTGAGAGCCGCAGGGGGCCGTGCAGTCCTCCTCCTCCTGGCAGGAACGGCAGAGGCCGCGGGGGTCAGAGACCACCATGCCCCCGCGGCCCCCACCCCCGCGCTCAGGACAGCGGGGCTCCTGACTGGGGAAGTTCTGCGCTCCAAGGTGCTCTGGGGATTAAATGAGCCTGCCTGGCAAATTCTCCCAACAGGTGCCCCACTTACAAGGAGGGAGGTGTGGCAGGGGCAATCCCAATCCAGGGTCCCGTCTTTTGGGGGCACACTTGGACTCCCAAGTGCTGCAGGCAGCCCCTGCTCACTCCCCCAGATCCCAGAGCACCAGGGCAGACCTGAGCTGGCTGTGCTCCCTGCACGCCCCCCTCCCCGGGCACCCCCCAGGGAGGGAGACGGAAGTCAGGGGTGGGTGCGGGGGGCGGGGCTGTAGGAAGCAGAAGCGCAAAGAGGAAGGTGGAGGGAGGGACACACCATCCTTCAGCTGGAGACAGGGGCTCCTTGCAGACCCCCCGAAGACCAGCCTGGGGCTCCTCCTGGCCAAAGACGGGCCCTGGTCAGCTGCTTGAGGGCCCTGGGGCTAGGGGCCAGAGGCTGCTGCAGCCCGACCGGGAGGACAGAGATACACTTACCTGTCGGCCCCCACCCTGCAGCAGGTCCCCCAGGATCTCCACCAGCTCTGAGAATGCAGGCCTCTCTTTGGGGTCTCCTGACCAGCAGCTCAGCATGACGCTGCGTCTGTGGGTAAAGCTGGCTGCTGGCCTGTGGTCTGAGCACGCCTGCACCCTGCACCAGCAGACCCCAGCTCCCCTGCCTAATCCTGGTCCCTCACAACCCCCCCACCGGCCCACCCAGTCTCTTCTGCCTGGGGGTGGGTGGAGGAGAGCTGTCAATGGACCAGTGAAGGAGTCAGGGGTGGAGTAAGAGACTTCATCTGCAGGTCTCTACCCCAACCCCGTGCCTGCAGCCCCTCCCCATTCCTGCCCCCTGCCTGCATACAAGACCCCCCACCCATGGCAACCTCCCTCCCCCTCCGACCCCCCACCACCAGCAGAGCCAGCAGGGAAACTCACATGGCGGTGGTGGCCAGCTCTGGGGCTCGCATCCGTGTGCCCTCTTTCAGCCTCTGGCAGAACTCCTCATTGATCTGTACTCCTGGGTAGGGGGAGGCCCCTGATGGCAGAACAGGATGAGGTAGGGGTGAGTGGGGAGCAGACACCTGCTGCCCAGCCCAGCCCCCCAAACTGCCTCTCTCCTGGCCCCCTATGGCAGGGGGCTGGTCCTGCTGCTCCCAGGCCAGAGTTGGGGCCAGGGGCGGGGGTGGCCAAGGCACTTTGTCTCCCAGTGATAGTTCTTCATTTGGTTAAAAGAGGATGATAGATGAAAACATGGGGGATCACCAGGGTCAGGGAGCCACACTGAGCCAATCAAGCCAGGCCTGTCACAATCACCCCTCTTCAGAGACACCCTCCCTGGCCATTCAGTTGAACCCCTTCCTACATCCCGTGGCTTTGCCTGCCAACACACCCGGGACCTAACTTGTCCTAGCCCTGCAGCACCTGGCCATAGGAGAAACAGCCCCAAAGAGCCTCTCGGTCCCCCTGGGCCCCCGAGGGCAAGCCGCACGCAGCAGGGCGATCCTCGTAAGACAAGTCACGCTGCTCTCTTGCTTGCTCCAAGCCCTGAGTGGCTCCCCTGGGACTCAGAGTCCGGGTCCTCCCCCTGGCCGGCTTGCAGGGGCTGCATGAACCTCCCCTCCCCCCTTGGCTGCACCTCCCGACTCCCCCTGCCCACGCCCGGCCCACCGCCAATGGGCGGGGACCAGGAGCCTGGCTGCCCCCTCACCCTGGCCTGCTGTCTTCCCCAGCGAGCCCCTTCATTAGCTGGGCCCTCCCCTCCAGCTCACACACAGCCCTGCCCTCCCTGCGCTCTCCAGGCCCTTGTGTTTACAGTGACAGCATTCATCCTGGTGGATCTTTGGTGCTTTGCTTCTCCGTTGGCTCACTGCCCGGCTCCGGCCTAGCATGGGGGCTTCACCCTGGTCCCAGCGGGGCCCCGGGGCCCACGTGGAGCTCTCATAAGTAGGTACACCTGTGCGTGAGCATCCAGTCTCCTCCGGGACGCTCCCCAGCCCTTGAAGGCAGGAACGGACTCCCCAGTGACAGGTTGAGGAGGGGGCTCATCCAGGGAGGTGAAGATCTGGGGGACCCATGAGGCCTCTCCTCTTGGGACCTATGCTGATCCCAGGGACTGCCCGGGAAACACAGGCCGTGCCCTGTCACCCGTCAGAGGCCAGAGCACACCACCCTGCAGAGGTGGCGCCAGGGGGGCCCATGGTGGAGGCAGAGGGGAGAGGTGGAGGGCTCTTGGACCACTTGCTGCAGGTGCAACAGCTCTGGGCCATCTGGCCCCCTGCTTCAGAAGGGCAGGTTGCCGTGACCAGCAGCCTAGGATCCTGCCTCTCCCCTCCCCCACAGCCTGCCCTGCACTTACCCAGGGAGAAGATCTCCCAGAGCAGCACCCCAAAGGACCATACGTCACTCTGCGTGGTGTACACCTTATCAAAGATGCTCTCAGGGGCCATCCACTTCAGGGGCAGCCGGGCCTGGGGGAGGCAGAAGGAAGCACGTCTCCATGGAGGGAGGGAAGAGAGGGAGAAGGCCAAACACGTGGGCAGCCCCTTCTCTCACCCCCAGCCTGCCCAGAACTCTGGAGCCACACCCTAAGAAGGGCCTTGGGCCGTATCTGCCCCTTGTGCGTTCACAAGACTCTCACAGTTGGCCCCCACCCTGCAGGTGCCTGGTGTCTTCCTTGAAGGCTTCTGCCCTGCTGCTCTCCTGGGTTGTCTGGGCCCCTTTCTTCCCCTGTGTGCTCTTGGGGGGCACTTGGAAGCCCTCCTCCCCCAGACCCCAGACCTAGCCTCTGGAGGAATCGGGACCCTGCACCCCCTCACCATCCCCACCTCAGCTTGGTCCCCACACTGGAAGCCGGGCATCACTTCTGACCGCTCGTCCTGGGGCTCATGATGTGCCTTCCCCATCATCTGTCTCTCTACCTCCTGGGGCCTCTACCTGGGAGCCCTGAGGGCATCTGGCCCCTCCTGACTGGCCGCCACCTCCGGCCCAGCACACCCCCTCCTTCTTCCTCACAGCCTGCAGAGGGGGCTTCTGGAAGGTGCACCTGACTCTCCCATCCACCCGCCTCCACTCAGCCATGAGTTAGAGTGAAGGGCAAAGGCCTTCCTCAAGGTGGCTAGGCTGACAGGGTGGCCCACCACATCCTAGACCCATCCTGCCCATTGTCTCCCTCTCCAAGCCTCTTCCTTCCTCCTCCGGGGCACAAACCCCCAATTGGCTTTGAGTGTTCATTCAAGTGCCAGCCTGGCCACCTCTGAGCACCACCGATGAGATGCACACTGCCCCCACGTGCCCTTCTGTGACTGCACCATGCAGGGTCCACCTCTGATGCCCAGCCCCTGCAGGGCAGGCATGTGGGGTCAGTCAGCGTCTGCCTCATGGACAAAGGCAGGGGGCCAACACAAGCTCCAGATGAAGCACCAGGGTCCCTGCCCGTCGGCTCCTGTCTTTACTCCTGGTGGGGCCACTAAGGTCCCTGTAAGTGTGGGCTCTGCAACCTTCCATGGAGATGGCTCTTGGATGGGAGGTCCGTGCCCCCATCCTGCCCTCCCTCCGTGGCCTGCACTCACACTGCCCTTGCGCACGTAGTCAGGGTCTTTGTAGATGTCGCGGGCCAGGCCGAAGTCACAGATCTTCACCACATCGCTTTCTGACAGCAAGATGTTCCGAGCGGCCAGGTCTCTGTGGATGCACTAGAAGGACGGGGAGGGGCGAGGGGGTGGTCAGCACCGGTCCCCAGGGCCCACCCATGCCTGAGCCTTGCTCTTTCATGGGGCGATTTCTATGCTCCCCCAGGACTCTCCATGGAGAGGGCTCATGGAACTATGGGGACAGAGGAGGCTGTGGGGTGGGACAGATTCCACATTCACCTCTCTGTCACTGACTAGCTAGAGATCTCAGGAAATCACTTCCACACCCTGGTCTCAGTTTTCTCCTGTGCAAAGTGGGAGAAACGCGCACTGACCACAGCATTGCTGTGTGGCGAGCTAGGACAGGGCCTGCCTTGGTATGCTGCTGGTCTGCACCCTCCTCCCCTCTGAGGGGCCTGCTGGGGCAGTCACCTTGCGGGAGGCCAGGAACTCCATCCCTCGGGCCACCTGGAAGCTGTAGCAGACAAGGTCCTCCATGGTCAGCGGGCTCAGCCACAGGTCCTGGGCTGCACAAAGGAGCAAGACAGGCTCAGCGGAGGGCGGGGGGGCCTCTTCCATGGCTCCCATCTTCTACCCTTCCCCAAAGGGACCATGTGTTCACCTCCTCCTGGTTGGGCCCCTGAGGCCCCTGGTGCTAGCTAACAAGCGTGTGGGCCCCCTCGTCTGCCCCTCAGCACCCACTCTCCCTGCAACACCCACTAACCACTCCCAGAACTGGGAATCTTGTCGCGTCCTTAGACCTTTGCACCTGCTACTCCCACCCTTGTCTGGAAGGCAAAGGCCTAGATGGCCAGTGATGCCCAATCAAATGTCAACCGTCTCTGTGGAAACTGTCCCTGTGGTGTCCTCCCTCCCAAAGGAAAAGCCCATTACACACTCTCCTAGGTAAGCCCCTCCAGGAGGGCCTGAGGCCAGCTTCTCCCACAGTCCCCTGATCATGAGGCATCCTCCTGCCAGCCAGACCTCTTCCAGCAAGGGGAAGCCAGGCTCTTACCTTCTTGGACCGGAGGGGCCCGCCCTGCGCCGCCCTTGCCCATCAAGAGGCGGGAGAGGAGAACCCTCTCGCTGCCTCCTGGCCTCCTGCGGTCAGCTTTGGCCCCTTCCACCATGGCGCGAAAGCGCCTTCGCTGCTCAGGGGACTTCTCCTGCGAAGGCATAGAGTGGGTCTGAGGGGGGCTCGGCCACCCACAGCAGACATTCCACTCCCCCCTCCCCCTCCCCCCAGCCCACCTTGGCGTCCTGCGGGCTCCCAGCAGAGCTCGGGCCACTGGCAGGGCTCCCACTTACCGCATAGGGGCTGAAGGCCTCCCGCTTGGCACGCAAGAAGTTGGAGAGATTGCCATACTTGCAGAACTCCACGATCACCATGAGGGGGCCTAGGGCAGGGCAGGAGCCAGGCGCTTGGTGACGGAGGGCAGGCCCGAGCGCAGGCACCTCAACAACCCCTCCCCACCGCCCTCCAGCACCGCCCCGGCCCGGCCCCTCCCATACAGGCCCAAGAGGCCCCACCCACCAGGGAGCCCGGGGCCGCGAGCTCCGTACCATTGGGCTTGGTGCACGCCCCCAGCAGGTTGACTACGTTGAGGTGGTTACCGATGTGGATTAGGATCTTGAGCTCAGACATCAAGGCGCGGTGCTCGCTAGCTGTGGCGCCCTCTGGAGGGGACATGGGGGCTTCGCGTGGTGCTGGGCCCGCCGCCCCCCAACCCCTGCGCGTCCCTCTTCCCGGCCACTGGCTTAGCTAAGGCGCAGCTAGAGCTCCTGCCCGTGGGGGCGTAGAGTCCCCAGCTCGTCCCGCTCGCCCCTTGGAGGCTCAAGTTTCGGGTGGGACTGGGAAGAATTCCTCAGATCCGAGCCCAGGGCCTCCATGAAGAACCCTGGGGGAGACTCTGGCTCTGAACGTCAGTTTCCCCTCCCGAACCACAGACCCACCAGCCCACCCAGAGTCGCTGCCCCCGCCAGTCCCACCGCCGCCGCCTCCACCCGCTGACCGCACACCTTTCAGCATTTTCACAGCCACAGTGTCGCAGCTGCTGCCCTTGTGGATTCCAAAAGCCGAGGCTTCCACCACCTTCCCGAAGGCCCCATGGCCAAGGACTCTCCCTGTGGGGGGCAGGGAGCCGGGTCCAGGTGAGCTCTTCAAGGGCGAGGGTGAAGAGGGACGGGCAGCAGGGGCGACCTGCCTGGAGGGCCAGGAAGGAAGGCCCAGGACGGGGAGGAAACTCGGGAGCCCTCTCGGCCAAACAGGAAGAGCAAGGAGAGCAGGAGCGAGAGAGAGAGGGCGAGGAGAGGCGGACAGGAAGGCCTGCATCCTCTCCCAGCAGGTGTGATGGGCCCGCCCTGCTCAGAGCAGCGGGAAGTGACCCCGGGGGGCCTGAGAACTGGAACCCTGGCTCCAGTTTTTAGGATGCACGCCCAGATGGACAGGTCAGGCCAGGTGGGGGCCAGGCATGACTTTCTGGCCTGAGAATGGAGGGATTTCAGCACTTGAGAGGGAAGCGGTCTATGCGGGCCGCAGGGTAGGGTGGGGGGCACTGGGGGACCGCCTCACCGAGGTGCAGCCGCTCCCGGGGGAATTCCCACTGGCTGGCATCATAAGACAGGTATTCACACTGCTCCTCCAGAGGCACCTCCCCGGGGTCCATGATGATGGACAGGTAGCCCGTCTTGATGTCTGCGTGGGCTGGCTGGGGTGGGGGTGGGGACAACTAATTGATTTGGCCATACCACGGTCTTGGGTGAACCTTTCCCCAGGACAGATGGGATCTCCTTTGGGGCTCTCAAGCAAGGAGGGGACAGACGGACTGACAACCTCTGGTTGTGCAAGAGCCCAGCATGGAGGGCTCAGCGAGGCTTCCCAGGAGGTGAGACTGCCAGGTGAGCCAGGGCGGTTGAGGACCTTATTCCTTATCTTACAGGCTGTGCAGGGCGAACAGAGACCCCACAAGGAGCGGTTGAGAGGCTCAGTTGGGGGAGGAGAGCTCACCCTCCTCATGTTACAGAAGATGAAGAGGAGGAGGATCCAGAAGAAGACAGCGATGACCCCGGTGCCGACAAGGATCACGATCTCCATGCTGCCTTTATCCTCGGAGCCTGAGTGGACAGAAAGGGGCTAGTCTTGTGTGTGCGTGTGTGTGTGTGTGTGAGGGGGAGGAGGGTGCGCCCTGCGAGCAGCACCCCTTCTGGTGGGCACGACTTGAGGGAGGTGGCTCGGAGAAGGCGCCGAGTGCGGGGTGGGGGGTGGGGCAGGTGGGTGGAAGGGCGCGGCGGGGGGCGGACCTTCCACGGCCACACTGGCGGAGGAGTTGACGCAGCCCTTGGCGTTGCACACACTGCACAGGTAGCGGCCCGCGTCCTCCTCACGCACGCGCTGTATGCTCAGCCTCTGGTTCGAGTCCGCCAGGTCGATTCCTGCAGGGGACGGCGGGTTGCTTTGAGTTCAGAGGGCTCTGGGGCCTCGACCTGGCGAGCCTCTGCACCCCCGCCCTTGGCCCGCGTCCACCACCCTACCAGACTCTTCCTCCAGCAGCCTCTCATCTTTGTACCACAAGATGCTGGGCACGTGCACCCCGGCCACCGGGCACCTCATCTCCAGGGAGTCGCTCACGTTCACCAGGAGGTCGGTCAAGTTCTGCGTGAGCCGCGGGGCTTCCAGGGCTGGGGGGTGGGGGGGGGGGTGGAGAGGGAGCTAAGTGGAGTTGCAGAAAGCAGGAGGGCGTGCGGGGCAGGGGCCCTCCAGGGCTGGGAGCAGAGAGTGGGGACGGATGGCGCCAAGCTCTAGGAAGGATCGGGTTTGGGCGCACGGGTGGGGAGCGCTGTGGACCTCCACAGCGGGGGTGGGGGGGAGGACCCTCCCGCAGGTTCAGGCTCCCCGAGTGGCAGCCCAGGCGCGTTCTGGGAGGGGAGAAAGGCTCCTTGCGCAGCGCCGCCAGCCCTCCCCTGCAGCCCCGCCGGCCTCACCCTGCACTGACAGGTACTTCTTGTGACAGTGCTTGTCATGGCTGCGACGGTCCTGCACCTCGCATACATAGTCGCCTTCGTGCTCAGGCGCCACGCTGGGGATGGTCAGGCTGAGCGTGGCGTGGCGCGCCCCTGGCTCCGCCTCCTCCAGGTGGGCGGCCAGAGGCGTAGCGAACAGGTGCACGTTCTTGCAGTCGAGCAGCAGCGGGTTCCCGTGCGCGTCGTGCAGCGTGGACAGGTTGAGGCGGTACCAACGCAGATGCTCGTAGGTGTAGTTGTCTGCCCGGCAGCTCAGGCGCACGTCCTGGCCCTCTAAGGGCTCCTCCGATGGCTCGGATTTTATGCTGAAGCCATCGGGGATGTCTGGGGAGGCAGGAGGAGGCTGCCTGACACCTCGCCCAGAGTTGGCTCACCTCCCTGCCTGCCGTGGTGCCCGCTCTCCCTTTGCTCTCCCTTTCCCAACTGCCTTTGGGCTCACTCTGCTCTCAACCAAGACCATGCATCACGTGTATCTGGGCTGGGTACCCCACCAGGGAGCCCTCTTCACCCCTCTTCTCCCCACCGCTGACCAGTGGGACCAGCTCCCTGAAGTCAGCCCCACTGACTCCTCCTGCCTCACCTTCTAGCCCTCTCCTGGACAAGCCCCACCCGGGCTGCCGCCCCTACTGCTCCCAGGAGCCCAGACCATCGGTGCAGTCCATATCAGCACACTTGGTGTGGTCCTGTCCCATCCTCCTCGCTGCTGACCACCTTCCACCACTGTCCTCTCCTGGAAATAATCTCATTGTTTCACTGGTTTGTGGCAACGTCTTGCTCCTGATTTCCTCTTGTCCAGCTGGCCACACTCCTCGTGGGGCTCCTGGGCTCCTCTCCCGGCTCCCTCCCGCAGAGGGTTCTCTCTGGCCCCGTGTCTCCTCGGGGTGCCCTCATCTACACTCCTGGGCCCAGTGACTGTCCGTCAATGGGCTTCTTAGCTTTCCTGGGGTCACTAGCGCATCTGAACATCGGAGGAAGCTACGGGTCTTCTCCCCAGGAAGAGTGTGCCTGTGAGCCAGCTGCTGTGTTGGGAAGGGGGCGGGAGGGTGATGGAGCCAAAAGGAGTGGACGGACCCCAGTGGGGAGGCACCTCCAGGGTTAGGGGCAGAGGGTGCCCCTCCATCCCAGCGCACCAGCACCCCAGCCCATATGCTGATGACCTCCAAATCTATCCCTCCCGCCCAAACCCAGGGGCCCAGTGCCTCACAGCATCAGAAACTCACTGGGCCCCACCTGGCCTCACTGGCCTCTCCCAGGCCTTCTCTCCAGCCTCCTGTGCCCACCTGGTTCCCGACCCACCCAGGTCACTCACTGGTCACGTAGAAGTAGATGAGCCGCTCGTCCTGGCCCACTTTGTTGAAGACCATGCACTTGTACATGGCGGACACGTTGGCATTCTGGATCACCAGCTTGCTCACCGTCTGCGCAGAGCACGAGCACAGGGCTCCATTGCCTGCCCAAGTTCCTCCCACCCTGACCGTCCTCCCTTTCTGCGCCCAGCAGCGGGGTGGGGATAACTGAGGCCCCGAGCTGAAGAGGACCAAGGCTCAGAGACAGCACCAGGAAGGTTCCGGTGGGGCGCAGGAGGCAGAGCCCTGGCACGGCAGAGGTGGCCCCTCTGGGACAATCAAGGACATGGCTAGGAGCAGCTGCGGTTGAGGCTGAGGTCAGAGGGCAACGTGAGGCTGGGCTAGCGAGGCCTCTGGGTGTGGATGGGCTCGGGCTGTGGCCACGTGGGGCAGGGGACAGGCCCAGTCTAGCAATGGGCAGTGCGAGCCAGGGCTAGGATTTGGGGTGTGGAGCAAGGCTGATCACTGCATGAGATCCTTGTGATGGGCCACTTTCCCCCCAGGGCTGCTCACGGCCCCTCTCTCAGGGCCCTGGGTGGTGGCCTGGGAAGGGAATGGGTCCCAGGTCTCCTGAAGGACTCTGGCCTGGGGAGTAGGACACTTGGAGGCAGGGGGAGGGGAGAGGGCCGCTGTAGGCCCTGCCTACCATCCAAACAACCCCCCCCACCCCATTCCAAGCTGGGCACTTCCTGGCCAGGCCTGGAACAGGAAGAGGCTCTGGAGGTGTGTAGGAAAACAGGAAGTGACTGTAGGAAGTGGGTGCCTTTGTTCAGTCCCCTCCCCCGCCTGGCCTCTTCTAGGCATTGCCCCCAGGCTGGGCCAGCAGCTCAGTTGTCTTCGGTGGGGACCTGGCTGGCCCCAGGCCTGGTCCTCCCAGCCCTGGGGCCTGTGGGTGGCTGGGGCCCAGGGCCTGGCCAGGCTGCCTTCAATCTAAGCTTCCCTGTCTGGGAAGCAGCTGGAGGTCCCCACACTCCTCAGCCCACCATCCACAGGCAGGAAGGGGAGCTGAGGCCCAGAGACACTGCAGAGCAACTCTGCAGGCCTGGTAGAAGTGGAGAAGGCCAGAAGAGGGCCCCTCCCCATCTCCCTTCTCCTTCCCCATCAGTGGCACCAGCTGGTGCGTGTACCTTATTCTTCCCTTCCACGAACTCGGTCCAAGTGTCCAGGCTCTCAATGGGGTTCACGGCATCCTGCGTGGTCACCTCTCTCCAGTCGCGGCACTGTGGCATGTGGTCTCTCTGCTGCCGCCGGCTGCTGGGAACAGCCTGTCCTGTGAGGGCTGCCGGACACAGCCTTCCCTGGTAGGCTCGGGGCTGCTGCCCGTCAAGCAGCTCACACCTGTGGCCCCACGGTCCCCCTCTGGCCTGCAGCGCCCACCATCCCTTACTCGAGATGTGCCCCTTCCTGCAAAGTCCACCTAGATCTCCCGGGGTCGGGGGGCAGCAGAGTCACCACTCCTGTTCCAGGAAACCCTCTCTCTCCTCCTTCCAGAGCTGCAGCCCCTTCCTGGGCTGAGTGTGACCCCAGCACCTTTGGTCTCTTGTTGGGACATGGGTCTCGGGTCCCAAGGGAGGCTCTTGTCTGCCTCCAGCAGAGCAGAGCAGGACCCCAGGGTTCTGTCAGGTGGTCCAGAGCATAAAGGTAGAGCATCAGAGGGAGGCAAATTTGGAAGTGCCTGGTGGTGTAGAAGAATCTCTTACAAGCCTTGGAGGCAGCAGGCCACCCCTACAGAACCTCCTCCCCTGGCCATGCTGGGGTTACGGCCCGCCTCCGGGTGCAGCCGCTCTGTCTCCTCCTGGGGTTCCCAGCATCCATCCTTGCCCAGCCTGTGACCCTCTACCCTGCCCACAAGGATCTCTAGCTGAACGGCAAATGTGGCCCCCCACTCCCGCCCATTCAGCGCCCTTCACGGCTCCCTAGTGCCCTCCAGACCGCTGGCCACCTTGGCACCCTCTCCCATCTCTTGCTTGTCCAAGCTGTCCCTGCTCGGAGCATACTCCTGGGCCTCTCTGTCCTGTTGGCACCCAGCTCAGCACAGAGGAGCACGGCCCAGGCGGGTTCTGCTGCTTACAGCCGTGACCTTGGGAGAGGCAGGTCTCTCCTCCAACCCTCGGTTGCCTCCTCTATAAGGGGTCATCATGAACAGGGCTCAGGAAAAGCTAACTGGGCACGGTTGGTGTGTTGCGGGACTCAGTACAAGGCTCATAAAACTAGCTCAGGTCCGCCCACTTGGAGCCCAGGTCCCGTGTCCTCTTGGATGATGCAATTATGGGTCCTGGGGGGCTTTATTTTCAAGGGGGGTTGGTGGGGGCTGCACCATCCCCAGTGTCTGGCCCAGCCCGACTCATGCGAGAGAGGGTCCGGGCCTTGTTCAGGCGAGGTGAGGTCAGGGATTGGCTCCCGTTGAATTGCGGCGGGGTTCGAGCTTAGAGCAGGGCCCTGGGGAGGGGCGCAGGCAGGGAGTGGGGGTCACGGCCAAGGTTGGGGTTGGGGCCGGGAAGCGGGGAAGGAACAGGCTGGAGCCACACTCACAGGCTGCGCTGGCCGAAGGCCTTGCAGGGCGTCCATGGTCGCCAGTGCCACTGGACGCTGAGAGGAGGCGGCACTCCGTAAGCCGTGCAGGTGAGGGCCTGGCGGCTGTGGCGGGAGTAGGTGCTGGGGGAGGAGGCCTCCTTCTCGTGGATGTGGGGGGGCACTGGGGGCGGAGGCGGACGGCTGGTCAGCAGGCCCTGTCAGCACACCCCCACCCCGCCCCAGCCAGCC